CTTACCCCAGTGTAACTTCTTGCTTCCCTTGTCATAGACTAACTGGCCGTATATGCCTGGATTTACTTCTGGGCTTTCTATTCTGTTCCATTGATCTATATGCCTATTTTTATAAGGCTCCGATTTCTGATGAAAACAAACCTGCTGCCCACTGGGTTTCCCTTGCAGCATACAGTGACTTTTGTTGACAAAGGAGGAGAAACCATATTATTCTGTAAACAAACTCACACTTGCCTGGCAGATGGTCATAGCTGAGTTACCAGACATCCTCCATTTAAGATGCAGGGAGCACTGATCTCGGGGATGGTCCTTCACTGGATCCAAATGTAAGGCGCCCAGTGTGAATAAAGAAGCGGGTGAGGGTGAGCTGTCCACAGTCTCAGTTCAGAATGGCAAAGGTTTTCCGCGCTACTGTTTAACACGACTCTGTTGATGCCCTTTCTCCTGTTGCCCCCTTTTCTCTGTCTGCTGTCTAACCCCGTGCCTTGCCTGGGAAAAGTGTACATTGATGAGGTTACTGGTTTAGATAGTAAGTAGAGTAAGTTATTCATTGGTTTAGAGGTTCCCTGCTGCTTTGTCATTTTCTCAATCAAACTGGCCATTTATTTAAGGAATAAAAAGCTGATGGGATTGAAAAAAAAATTACCCTGCTGGACCTGTTTCTTATCGAATGGGAATAATACATTCTCACTGCTTTGCTGTGGAGGAAGTGGGATAAAGTATTGAGAAATACCTAGTGGCTGGTCGTTTAGTGGAGTAGCTAAGGGTGGACCTCGGGTTTGGCTGTGGAGGCAGACCCGCTGGGGTTTGAAGTCCTGCTCTCGCGATAAGCTGTTTTCCTGGGCAAGTTACTTAACTTCTCCCAGTCTCTATTGTCTCAGCTGTAACTTGAAAATAATGTCCATTTTATGGGTTATTGTGAAGATTCGGTGAGCTAACGTATGTAAAGTTAGTGATTTGGGGCAAATGCTTAAAAACAGTAGTCTCAGGCAGCTAATAAAATCATAGTTGCTCAATAAATAGTGTTTTATTTTAATTACCAGAAAACCTCTATCCAAAAGCTAGATAGAGAATCTAAACACATGCCTCTAATTGGCTCCAAAAGGCGCTTTCATTGGCCCAACCCGCCTCTCTCCTTCCAGTTGCTTTGGGTTCTGTGCTGCTAAGAGGCATGTATTTCCTTCCACTATTTGAAGCAAACAGAGCCCAGGGCTGGATGAGGGATGTCAGAGAGGGGGAAGAAAACTTTCTCCTGAGCATCAGGTGCTCTCTCTTACAATTAATTTCCACCGTCCAGCTCCCCAGACCAGGACCCTTTGGTGACACCCAACACGCACACACATTTCCCCACCAAGACACCTGTGTGAGGCCAGGTGGGTATTTCTGTCCAGAGCGAATGTTGACCATCGCAGCAGAAAGCGAGGCACGTCACTGCTTCAACAGAGTGGGTTTTTCTTCCCTTAGTTACCAATTAGAGGGACGCACAGCCCTGAGTGTGCCCAGCTGCTGATGCTCTCAAGACCAGGCTGGGTTGGCCTTGACGCCGTAGGCCTGGAGCTGTGAGTGCTTGCTTCTATTTCCAGCCAATAAGCCCAAAGGCAATGGGAAAGCCAGGGGGTGGCGGGGGTGGGGTGGGGGTAGGACCTGGTACTGGAGAAAAAAAAAAGGGCTGGGGTGCGGCTTCCCTTTTCCTCTTTATTCTCTGGTCTTTGTATGGAGACATGACTCATCAAGGGGTCCCCTAGATGAGGCTTTAGATGCTCTGTGGGCAGCAGATAAGAGTGCAGTCCACTTGCAGAAAGTAAATTCATTGAATCCTCCCCATAAAGTCGATACTGTCAGGCTTATCAGCTGTCCTCATTCTCTACTCAGCCCCCTGGGGACCAGACTTGAAATAAAGGGCACAGGCTCCAGGGGCTGGAGAGTGAGGTGCAGGGTTGGGCCGGGAGGGCCTCTGCCCCGCCTCACCCCCCACCCCCAGTTGAATTTCAGGCAGATGGGGGAAATCTGCCAGGCCTGAGCTGCCCAGAGCGCTCAGCTTCCCAGACTGACAAATCCCAAACCAAACACACCCCCACCACCACCACCACCACGTCAGGAGATGAGGGAGGGCCTTCCTTACCCTCTCAAAACCAGCAGGTGTTTTCAGGAGGCTTCACTGGGGCTTCTTAGGAAAATGAGAGGATGTTACCTTAAATGCAGCCAATAAAAAACCTACAGAGGAAACCTTGACTTTTCACCACTGTTCTCACCTCTGCTTTTCATTACACAGATACTTCTGCCCTACCCATGAGCACATCCATCTCTCCTAGCTGGTGGGGACTTGGTTTCTTTGAAAATTGCCTGAAAATAAGTAGGTTGCCAGCTGGAGTTTCAGACCTGCTTCTGAGATTCGCACTGTAGCTGAGGCAGGCTGTATGAACAAGAGACAGCTTCCCGTCCACCACTCCTATGATCCCGGAAGGCGTCATAGGCTGGTGCAGACCCGATCAACCGGCAGGCCCTGTTTGAGCTCTCTGACCCAGGCAGCATCTGGTGAAAATGGGGAAGAATTAAAACAAGATGGGCTTGGCCTAGCCCGACTAGCGGCCTAGAATGGCCCGGAAAGCCAGTGAAGTCCCAGCCTTGTCAGGGTAGGAGGTAGGGCGGAGACAGTGAGGTCACTTGTGAGCATGAGCTGTGGTCCTAATACAACTGGAACTGCTCCTCTTTACCCTTTGGGGACCAAAGTCCGCAGAGGTGAACAATCAATAAGGAATGAAGACCAAGGGAAGACCCAGACGTGCACATCGCTCGTGAGCCCCTCTCCTTCCCCGCCTGCTTTCCCCAGCGCCCGCAGCGCAGCCTTCGTGGCATCCCCAAGTGGGGACGCCATGCCGCCCTGGTTTCTACCTGAAGTAGCAGGTGTAGGAAGGGCTCCATCCTCTTCCTCGCATCTCTCACACTGCCTGCATTGTGGTGGCCAGGCCACACCCTGGCCCCTGGGCTCCCCGTGGCCTCGCTCACCTGCCCCTTTCCAGAAATTGCCTTCATGTCTTCACCAGAGCCTAGGACCTCACTACCAACTCTCCTGCCTCAACTTATCTGAGCTTTTATCTCGGCTCTCAAATGCCTGTTCTAATTCTCTGGAACCCTCTGGATAAAACCTTCATTTGGTCCCCGCGTACTTGGGCTCTGTGGCTGGCAAAACCGCTCTGAGCTCCACTTCTCAGACCAACACCAAATGCCCCTCAGCCTCCAGCACTTCCATGTCTGTGCCTGGCACCGACTGGGAATTCCTAGGAGTCAACTTACCTGGGCCGCCTGGGGCCTTATGCCCACCTGGCTAAGCCTCTGCCCTCTGTCCCTGCAACTTTAGGGACCCCAGATCAATCTCAGTGACTGAGTTCTCCCAAATCCCCACTCTGGCCGTGAAGGAGCCTTGTGCATGGTGTTGAATCTGCGAATGAACCTTGCCCTTAACACAGCGCTAGTGAGAATCATCAGCCAAAAGCATTCACTGAAGGTGCCTCGCTTGCATTCAAATAACCTCTCTCCACTTGCTCTTACCCAAACTTCAGAGCGATCCCACAAACTTCAGAGCGATAGCCAGTGACCCCACAATCTGCTCCTTGCCCGCTTTTCTAGATTTTTTTTTTTTTTTAACTATCCACATGTAGCTAGACAGTCTTATCCACTATCCCATAAAGTCCATTCTGGGACTTTACTGGCTCCTTTTATTTAGGAATGTTTTCTTCCCTTTCTTAATTTATTCAGACTTTCTGTTTGTTAAAGTCTTGAGACCCGGCTGAGCCTCACTGTCCCTCTCCCTGGCCTCCTTCCTGGAGCGTTTTCTAGCCTCAGGGGCTCAGGCCACTTTCTACAAGGTGGGGACCTTTGGTTCCCTTACCTAAGCCTAGCCTTTGAGACTCACTTTTGTGAAGATTACATTTTAATCCCATGTCCCATTTCCCCAAAGGACAGGCCTTACGCCTACCTGTGCTATTGAGGCCAGGGTCACTTCTTATTACCAGGCCTCAGGAAGAGGCCCTCTACTCAGGAGGGCTCTGAAATACTTGGGCCTAATTTTACAGAAAAAAAAGTATTATGGGGGATTACCAGGAAAATCTATGTACATATATAAATACAAACACACACACACACAAGTGCCCCAAAAATGTATAAACGTTTTAAGAAAGAAAAAAAAACTATCAAAATTGTAATACAATGAATGATGCTACCATTCATTTGATTACCGCCATCTTTTGAACGAACATCATACTACACATTGCTACAGTAATTCAACTTCGAAAAGTAATACATAGATGACAGCTCTTAAAATGTGTACACTTTTTGGCACCCCCAGTATATACATAACATACATACATATATACATACATCTTCTTATCCATTCATTACCAGTAGACACTTAGGTGGTTTCCATGTCTTGGTTATTGTAAATAAAGCTGCAATGAGCATGGGGGTGCATATCTCTTTGGAGTAGTGATTTCATTTCCTTCAGATATACACCCAGAAGTGGGATTGCTGGCTCATATGGTGGTTCTATTCTTAATTTTCTGAGGAGCCTCCATACTGTTTTCCATAGTTGCTGCACCAATTTACATTCCCACCAACAGTGAACAGGGGTTCCCTTTTCTCCACAGCCTCACCAGTACTTGTTATTTCTTGTCTTTTTGATAATGGCCATTGTAACATGTGTGAGGTGATATCTCATTGTGGTTTTGATTTGTATCTCCCTAATTACTAGTGATGTCGATCCCCTTTTCATGTACCTTTTGGCCATTTGAATATCTTCTTTGGAAAAATGTCTACTCAGGTCCTTTGCTTATTTTTATATTGGATTATTTGGGGTTTTTTTTGGGCTACTGAGTTGCATGAGTTCTTTATATATTTTGCATATTAACCATTTGTCAAATATATGGTTTGTCAGATATGCACTTTGCAAATATTTTCTCCTGGTCTATAGCTTGGCTTTTCATCCTCTTCTTGTAGGCTTTTGAAGAGAAGCAGTTTCTTAATTTTGATGAAGTCCAATTTGTCAGTTTTTCCTTTTATGGATTGTGCTTTTGGTACCAAATATAACTCTTTGCTTAGCCCTAGATCATGAAGATTTTTTCCTATTCTTTTACCCTAAAAGTTTCATAGCTGTACATTTTACATTTAAGTATGTGACTTATTTTGAGTTCATTTTTGTATAAAGCACTTGAGGTTGTGTGTGTGTGTGTGTGTGTGTGTGTGTGTGTGTGTGTGTGTGTGTTGGGGGCTATGGATGTCCCATTGTTCTAGCACCATTTGCTGAAAAGGCTCTCCTTCCTCCATTGAATTGCTTCTGCAATTTTTTCAAACATCAGTTGAGCATATTTGTGTGTCAGCTTCTGGGTTCTTTATTCTGATCCATTGATCTATGTGTCTATCCTTTTACCAATACCATGATGTTTTGATTACTGCATTAGTTTGATAGGATTGCCTAATAAAGCATTACAGAATAGGTGGCTTAAAATAGAAATTCATTTTCTTACAATTCTGAAGGCTAAAAGTCCAAGATCAAAGTGTTAGCAGGGTTGACGTCTTCTGAAGGTCTCTCTCCTTGACTTGTAGATGGTCATCGTTTCCCTAAATCTTCACATGGTCCTCCCTCTGTGCTTGTCCTACCCTAATCTCTTCTTGTAAGGACACCAGCATGTTGGATTAGTGCCCACCCACTGACCTCTCTTTACCTTAATTACCTCTTTAATGGCCCTATCTCCAAATACAGTCACCGTCTGAGGTACTGAGGGTTAGGACTTCAATATATGAATTGTGTGGGGAGGGCACAATTCAGCCCATAACAAGTACTCTAGGTATATAGTAAGCCTTAATATTAGGTAAAGTGATTCTTTTCACTTTTAGTGTAAGAGGTTAGTCTCAAGTTATAATTAAAAAATTTTTTTCCAATCAGCAGTTAACTACAATAGAATCAGCAGACAGTAGCCATTGCATTTCAAGTCAGAAGGGTTTCAGATCTTTGTTATCTCTAAATTGAAGCTTCTTCACATGCAAAACAAAGGATAACAACACCTACCTTATAAGGTCAGATAACACCTCTACTGAAACGGAAGGACAAACTCAAGTCTTCCAATTCCAAATCTTTCTGCTACTTTATTCTTCCTTGTCAAGATTGCTTGAGCTACTCCAGAATCTGCCTTTCCACATACATTTTACAGTAAGCCTGTCTTGCTGAGATTTTGATAGGAATTGCATTAAATCTATAGATCGATTTGGTTAGAAGTGACATCTTTACTATGTTGAATTTTCCAATCCATAGACATGGCATATATCTGTTTATTTAGGTCTTGCTTGACATCTTTCATCAGCATTTTTAGCATACAGATACTGTATGTTTTAAGTTTATACCTAAGTACATCATTTTCTTTGATGTGACTGTAAATGTACTGTCTTCACATGTTCACTGTTAGTATATAGGAATGCAACAGAGCTTTTGGTGTTGATCTTGTATACAGTCACCATGCTAAACTCACTTATAAGCTCCAGGAGTTCTTTGGTTTGGTTTTTGTTTATAATACATTTCTTAGTATTATCTATCTAGACAATCATATCACCTGAAAATAAAAGGTTTTATTTCTTTCTTTCCAAACTGTATGTTTTTATAAATTTTTCTTGCCTTATAGCAGTGGTGAGAACTTCTAGGGTTACGTTGAATAAAAGTAGTGAGAACAGGCATCCTTACCTTGCTCCCAATCTTAGGGGGAGAGCATTTAGTCTCTCAGGTTTGTTGATCTTTTTGAATGCTGAACCAGCAGATATATAATTGGAATAAATCCCACTTGGTAATGGTGTGTAATTCTTTTTTAGACATTGTTGGATTCAGCAAACTAGGACTTTTCACTCCATAGCCTGTGTTATTTCCACTCTACTGCAGCTACTCTACACAATTCTGACTTTAGTTCAAATCCTATAAAAGCCCTTTCTATTTCTTTCTTCTTGAAATGTTATGGTTCCCCATGAAGGGTGTCCTCTCTTGCTGCAACAAGCTAATAAACCTAACTTTGTCTTCCTGATGGTCTTTGACTGGCAGGCTTTATCACTGAGAACACTTGGATTCGCAGACTTGAATTTCAGAAATATTGTACCAGTGGCAAGGTTATTTTATCAGATTGCTTATAAATGTTAGTGGCTGTTATTTCTACTGCAAACTTCAAATAAAACCCCACAAAATATCTCAAGAGATTAGAAAAATTTTATTTATCGTCACAAACTGGATTATATATTATAAATTCTGATCAAAATAATAATAATAAAGGTATTTTCAGTAGTATCACAAACTATCTGTACCTGAAGATAAAACCAAATAGTAAACTGGTAAGCATACACTAAAATTTACTCATGTTTAAAATAACACTTTGTTTAGAAAATCACATGCATGTTTTTCTGCTTATGAAGTGGAGCAGATACACAAATACCTATATATTATTTTCATTTAACAAACACATGAAATATTCCCCATGCTGTGAATGAGTCATCAGAATACTGTA